TGATATTAAACATATATATATATCTAAAGTTGTATATTGCTAATATTTGGCATATTTTATTACTTCAAATAATGCATTCAAATCTTTTAATTTTTGTAATACAGCTCTCTGGATATACTTAGCTCTCTGCTTATTTATATTTATTCTCCTACAGTAGCTTTTATTTTCCTCTAACCCCATAAGTGGTTATATTTAGGAGTAAATCCAAATTTGGCATTTTATTTGTCTTTGTTTATGTTCCCTCTGAGCTATCTTAACAAAACAAAACCATACCCTGCAGCCAGGCCTCCATTTTGAGCTTTAGATCCATATTTCCACTTAGTTATCAGAGACATGTGTGTGATTCTGGGTATATATCAGACAAAATATTCCTCAACTTCCTTCCAATGCAAACAACCAAAATGCTAGGAAGTTTCTAAAAATATTATTAAAAGCATTAAAATGTTTATTTTAAAAGTACAATGTCAAATTTATAAGAAAGCAAAACAATGAGGCTGATTTTGCCCTGAGGGCATTTGCTGACAAGGGCGAATTTGAGTTTCACTTTTGATGGCATTTCTGGCCAAAGGGTGCAGAACTCCAAACCCAGAGTATATCCTGGGGGAAAATTTTACCCACAGAAGTTGGAACTCAAAGGACTCTATCCATAGGATAACAGTAAAGTAGAAGTAAACCCAGTCTACACATTCCTACTTCTAAGAAACTTGCCTTTGAAGTGAGCAGGGTAGGGGTGATGCGGGAGCACATACTTTATGTTATAATCACAAATTGCCTCTTATCTGGATTTTTAACTCAAATTCATATCACCTGGATGATTAAAGTAAAACCTTAATCCATAAACTTAAATTAATATGATCTTAGACATTGAGGTCAGTAGCTGTCTCTAGACACAAATCTCTCTAGAGAAAGAAAACATCATCTTAGGCATTAAAGAATTCCCATAAATATTTTTAAAGAACAATGAATAGCACATACTCAAAATTAACCAAGAATACACAGAAACAAGTTACCCTGAGAGAAGACCAACAGAAAAACATCCCTAAAACCATAATTGGAAATATCTGACAGTATAAAACAATTACTTTGTTTAAAGAAATAAGAGACAAACCTTACTATGTTTGCAGATAATGAGAAAGTGTAAAAGTAATGTATAACAAGTATACAAAAGAACTATGCAGAACACTGAAAGCTATGTTATTGTAATTAAAAACACAATGGATGGGTTTAGCAGATTAAGTAGAGCTGAAGAAAGAATTAATCCTCAGAAGAATTTATTCATAATGCAATGTAGGAAAAGCAAGAAATGGAAAACTTGGAAGAGAGTATGAGACATGGAAGACAGAATGCAAAAGACACTCAAGTGAAGATAGAAAGAAAAGAGCACAGGTATTATTTAAGAGCTAATGATGAGATTTTCTGGAAATTTCTTAGATGAAAGACATCAAACTTAAGTGAACAGATTTTAAAAGCCCAGCAAATCACAAACATAAGTAAAGTGTTAAGTGCTCTGGGTAAAATAAAAAGATTTACAGACTTTCTTGAAAAGATAGAATATAACCACATGCTGTTTAAAAGAGATGCTTGTAAAATATAAGGATAATGGAACCTTAAAAGGATGGAAAAGTTATAACAGGCAACTACTAACTAAATGAATGTCAGAGTAACTATATTCATTAATTGAGACAAAATAGAGTTTTATATAATAAAACTTTAATAGAGATAAAGGAGGTTATTGCAAAATGATAAAAGCTTCAATTTACCAATAAAATAAAGCGATTTCAAATTTGTATGTACCTAGTAGCATAACCTCAAAATATGTAAAGCAAAAAGGAGACAGAACTATAATAATTGTTTTTTAAACTACTACCCTTTTGGAAGAGTTTAACCACTCTTCTAAATTAATCTAAGTAGAATAAGTAGGGTAAAAACCCAACAACTACGTAGATAATTTGGACAACTCACTTGTCAGAATTGACCCAATACCACATCACATCCCTAAACTGCAGACTGATTCTTTGCAAGCATACATAGAACAAAAATCAATTATATATTGGACTATAAATCAAGTTTCAACAAATTTCAGAAGATTGAAATCATATGAACTATTTTCTCTGACCGTGACTCAATTAAGCAAACAATCAGAACAAAGAGATAATAAAAAAATAACCTATATATTTGGAAATGAAGAAACACCTGCCTACTAGGTATCCCTACTGTGTGACTAGCAGGTGCACAAGTTCAACATGTCCACTGTACCCTAAATTACATTTCCTTCTTTCCCCATTTTTGTCACTGACACCGTTATCCATCTCATTATCTAAAGCATCATTTGTGGTTTCACTGACATTTGCTTTGGTTCAGGCTTTCAGCAATGATGTTCTCATTTTCTCTGTAACCAGACTCTTCCCTTTGAGGTCTATGTTCCTCCCATCTGCCACAATAGTCTTTTTAAAAGATCGGTTTAGTCAATAAAGCCTTCATTTAAAAAAAAAAAATTAGACGGACCTACAGGGTATTTTGCTAAGTGAAGTAAGTCAAACAAAGATGAATACCATATGATTTCACTTACATGTGGAATCTGACAAATGAAACAAACAACACAGAAACAGCCTTCTCACAGATGCAGAAAACAATCTGGTAGTTGATGTAGGGGCTTCTTTTTAAACCACTTTTTGATGTAGTTTAAAGGTGTAGGGGCGTGGGTGGAATGGATGAAATAAATGAAGGGGATTACAAGGTACAGTAGAAAAAAATTAATGATCCTCAATACCAAAAGAATAAACCCTAAATTCCATAACATGACATTCAAGAATCCTTGAATAGAGTCCCTGTCTTTCTTTCCATCTTTATTTTCTCCCAAGTTCTCACCCACCTTTTGTGCACCTGCTATGCTAACTCACTTATCCTTCTCTGAACACCCCCTCCTTTCCATCCTCTCTTTACCTTTGCATGAGTTAATCTCCTTCAGAGGACATCCTCTCTTATTGTTTACCCACCTGACCATTTCCTGTATATCCTGGAAGACAAAGCTCAAGTATCACATTCCTTGAGATGCCTTGCCTGGTCAATCTTCATAGTGTTATTCACTTCTTTACTTTCTACCCGAGAATTGTTTTTTGTCCTCAGTTTTGTAAATCAGCTATTTAAATATCTGCCTGTTGTGTTAGATCATAAAGTACATGCAGACAGGAATTTTTTTTCTCATTCGTTTTTTTTAAACTCTTAGCGGTTATATAGGAAGAGCTCAAAAATTGAATTTATGAATAAAATTAGAGTTAGTAAGATAGTTTAAATATATTTGTTGAAAGAAGCAAGGGTCAGTAAACAGACTGGCAATGAGAAAGGACAGCGATAGTATAACACGTAGATGGAATAACATGTAAATAGTGGAGGGCAAATTTGGTGTGGCATTTCTAAAACCTTTTAGCATCTTGATGGAAGGGATGCCAAGTAGAGTTGTATGGGTTTTATACTGCACAACTCAAGAGGGTGTCATACACATCTAGTCAAGGATGCAATAGTGTTGTGCAGTGCGGTCCTGAGTGGTCACATGGTTTATTTGATTAAATGAATCCCATCCTTAGTGCCCAGGAAGTAATTGTTATTTAATATAACTAGTAGGAGTCATTGAAAAAAGGATTATATTTTGCATATTCTACATAATGAGAGAAGTATGTAACACTTCTTAGAAATCCTTCCACCAAAAAAAAAAGTTAGGTACCTAATATAGCAAATTTTAATAATATAGAAAAAAATAACATTTAAAACAGGTAAGTGAGTCATTGCAGTGAGTTAGAAACCATGTCCACATGTGGTATAATTTGCAAAGTTTGCTTAAGGTTTACACATGAATATTATGACTTTTAGTCAAATAAGTTCAGACTAAATGATTTAGAACATAAATTACATACTTGAGTTACCTATTCTATTAAATAAGGGATACTCAGAAGCCAAACTGGGAATAGTTAGAATTGACTGACTTGAGGGCGCCCGGGGGGCTCAGTTGGTTAAGCAACTGCCTTCAGGTCATGATCCTGGAGTCCTGGGATCAAGTCCCGCATTGCATCAGGCTCCCTGTTCAACGGGGAGTCTGCTTCTCCCTATGACCCCCACCCCTCTCATGCACACTCTCTCTTTCTCTCTCTCAAATAAATACATTAAATCTTAAAAAAAAAAAAAAAGGAATTCACTGACGTGAACCAATGGCTTTATCTGTTTCAAAGTCTTATGCTACTTTGGAGATTCTGCGTTTTCCACCTAGAACATCATTTGGTTGCTGACAGTATAAACCGAACATAGTCATGATATTTTGTTCTGGGAAGTAGCTAGAAAGAAAAAAAAATGAACTCTGCTACTTTCACCTGCAAATGCTTTTTAAAAGCAATGAATCTCATTCACCTCCCACAGTCAGTAAATGATGTTTCCCATTTCCCATCCCAAGCTGAAATTCCTGGTTTGTTCTCCACCCACCTCTGACTCCTTCCCTGTTGCTAGATGTGTTCTTAAAAATAGCTTCGCAGGGCGCCTGGGTGGCTCAGTTGATCAAGGGCCTGTCTGCAGCTCAGGTCATGATCCCAGGGTCCTGGGATCAAGCCCCACGTTGGACTCCCTGCTCAGCAGAGAGCCTGCTTCTTCATCTCCTTCTGCCTTCTGCTTACTTGTGCTCGCTCTCTCTGTCAAATAAATAAATAAATAAATTTTTAAAATCTTAAAAAAAAATAGTTTCTCTCAGGGCATCTGGGTGGCTCAGTCGTTAAGTGTCTGCCTTCAGCTCAGGTCATGGTCCCAGAGTCCTGGGATCAAGCCCCGCATTGGGCTCCCTGCTCAGTGAGAAGCCTGCTTCTCTCTCTCCCACTCCCCCTGCTTGTGTTCCCTCTCTCACTGTGTCTCTCTCTGTCAAATAAATAAAATCTTTAAAAAAAAAAGCTTCTCACCATAAGAATAGCCTTTGGCTTATTGCAAACCATGTGTTTCATCTGTTTTTAACATGTCTTCTACAGATCCTCCTGCTGTGGAACCAGCATTTCTGGAGATCCGGCAAGGACAAGACCGAAGTGTTACTATGAGCTGCCGGGTCCTGAGAGCCTATCCAATACGGGTGCTGACCTATGAGTGGCGCTTGGGCAATAAATTATTACGGACTGGTCAGTTTGACTCTCAAGAGTACACAGAATACCCGGTGAAGAGTCTTTCCAATGAAAACTATGGGGTTTATAATTGTAGCATCATAAATGAAGCTGGAGCTGGGAGATGCAGCTTTCTTGTTACAGGTAAGATTCTAAGTATTTCACCGTATGATCAAGGGATCTTCAATATAAGAAAGTGTTTTGCAAATCCATGGAATATACTATGAGTAGCTTGTTGGCTATAGTTAGAGTTACTCATTTCTTTTCAAGGCAAATTTATTTTAGTAGTAGCAGTTTATATGCCTGTAAAATTAGGAGTTTATGTGAATTCAAGAAGATTTGGTGAAGAGGTTGCTTATTTTGAGTGTTTAAGTAATAAAGTGACAAATCTTAACTAGCTTTTTTTAGATCAAATTGCAAATATTAATACATATTTTCTTTTGCAAGTCTGAAATTGCTTGTTAACCAACACCTGCTTTGGTTTTCTTAATAGTAGAAAGAGTGTTTTTTTCTTATTATTTATTTACTCCCTCTATGTGGTGAAACTCAATTTTGTCCTTGGCTTACCTTTGGTTTACAAATATTCAAACAGAAAGCAATAAAGTTGTATCTGGCATATAATAAATTAGAAAAGAAGTATCAATCAATACTTTTTGATGTCATTATCTTACAGTATATTAAAAGAAATATTAAGTCTGTATTAAAACTTAGGTAATTATGTAATTATTTATAATCTATATACTAAGGTAAATTTGTGTGATTTTTGAGCTAGGGTTTAGACATACATTGAAAGGATATATTCCTTTTATTCTTTTTCAGGATTATTTTGTTCTGGTAAAGTTAGTTTTAATAGTTGGAGTGTTCATGCTAGTAAAAGAAGAAACTGGACATTGTGTATTATCTGAAAAGCAGTTGGAAATATTATGATTAAAGTGTTTCAGACTTAATTAAAACTTGTTCATTGGTAATATAAATTTTTTTTCATAAGTTCTTACTTATAAGAAAAATTTCTAAACATGAATCACCTTGAGATATTTTTGCTTCCTGAAATGTGATATTAGATAGGTAAAATGTAATGGAAGACCCAAAGAATATGAAGATGTCCCCTTTGCTGGATCCTTACCACCTCTTGATTTTGCAATCCCTTTTATCAACATTCAGTTGAACTTAAAGATTTCTACTTTGATTCTTAAAATGAACTATTCAAAGAAAACCAGAAGTCCCTAGGACAATACTACTCACATGGTGACCTCACTGCTAATTTTTATCCCTAGGGATATTTACAAGGGAAAGAAAATGTAGTATATTATTCTATAGAGTAATTTAAATGGCATGATGTACTTTCACTGTTTAATTACCTATTACTGTCCCAAAACAAGAAGAATCTTTCAAAGGTAGTTGTTTTCTACTTATTGGTAGAAATAGGTCACCTTTTTCTCATGAACCCCCAAAACAAAAACACTCCATAAAATTAACTACATCCCTTTCTTCAAACTTTTGGGACTTATATACATTCTAATTTTTTTGTTGTTGACGTTGTTTTCTAACTTTAGGCTAGTTTGGATCATGCTACCTCTGTAAGATTTTCATTTGTTATCTATTATGTGACCCAAATCCTATTTTCTGAACTAGAAGACAAGCTAAGACCAGAAGAAAGTTTTCCCAGAAGACACCATTTTCCCATTCAAGATCCATGGGGTGTAGTAAGTAGATTTTGATAGCTCCAGAAAGGAATAAACCTGTTAGGGGTTGCCCCACAAAAGGAGAGGAAATAGACCCAAGAATTGATTTGTTTCCTGTGTGCATTTTTCTATCTTCATGTTAGCCTCATTGTTTCAGTATTTCCACATACAATCTAATATATTTTTGAAGAAAAACAGAAATATTTAAGTTCCAAGTATTGTATAATCTAGGAAAATATACATTTGGCCCTTGAATAACACAGGAGTTTGGAGCACCAACTCCCCATATAGTCAAAAATTTTCATGTAGTTTTTAACTCCCCCAAAACTTTACTAATAGCCTACTGTTGACCAGAAGCCTTACTGATGACTTAGTCTTGTAACACATATTTTGTATGTTACATGTATTATATACCTTGTTTTTACAATAAAGTAAGCTAGAGAAAAGAAAATGTTATTAAGAAAATCATAAGGAAGAGAAAATACACTTATAGTACTGTGCTGTAAAAACAAACAAACAAAAAACAAAAACAAAAAACCAGAAACCTCCATGTGTAAGTGGACACACGTAGTTCAAATCTCTGTTATTCAAGGGTCAGTTGTATAAAGAAATCAATGATTCCATAGAATCAGAGGTCTGGAAGAAACTTCAAAAAGACATTTATTTCTTCTATTAAAACACATCACAGTTAGGAATCCTCATGAATTTCCCATAATTCAAAACCTTTGAAGCTATAGTGAGGAAACTAAGGAATTAGGATATAGACAAGAAGATATATATTCTTTATCCACAAAACAGATCTTTGAAGACAATTCTATTTATTTCCTGACAGCCAAATTCAGAAAATTTTAATTTTTTTATTATAGCTATTTTGTCAAATTCAAGATCCCTTTTCCACTAGTCATGAAGGTTTTACAGTCACTCAAAAGTGAACTTGATCTAACTATGCATCAAAATGTACAAAATTGAACTAAAAGGCAATGGCAGCCCTCAGATTTATATTTACGTTAGTTCCCAGGAAAGTTAAAAAATTCACACCTCCTTTTCCCAGTTATATCATGTGTGAGTGATGTGTGTGGGAGTATGGGGGTAGGTGAGTGGGGTTGTGTTTACTGAGAAGTCAGGGTGTGAGAATATTTTCCTGCAAAGGAAAAGAAGAAGGTAAGCAAAGATATTTTGGGAACAGTGAACAGCCTAGCTTGTAGCGCACTGTCCATGTTAGAAAATATTAGCTATAATACCACAAAATACAGTGTATTTTCATTTCTTTTATTCACTAATATTGTTATGGTAAATATAAGCATAGTTTTGTTGGTCTGTTTAATGGTTTAAGTAAGCTTTGTGAACAATGGTAGGAACCTAAACACCATTTATCATGTTTTACTATGGAGAATTTTTACAAGTTACAGGAAGTATATATACACAGTTATATAAAATTTAGACTTATACACCATTTAGAAATTTGATCAATGGAGACAATTTTAGATTCTTTTAAATGAAACATATTAAAGGAATAGTGTTTTCCTTAATAGGTAACAGTGAATATATACTCCGTAAGAATTTTTATTGCATAACAACAAAGTATAATTACACATGAAACAACCAATATGTATTGTCTCCTTTCTGATGAAAGTTTTGCAATCTGGAAAATATTTAACAATTATTTACTGTGTAACTACTAATTGCTGGGTACTAGGGTAGACACCGGAAATAGAACAATAAATACTCTCTCCCAGAAATCTTTCACCATCATGTCAGTTTCTAAGTTTTATCAGTTGTATATTTGTTTGGTATTTTGAATCTGTCATTTTATTTTTATCCCTATTGCAGTTGTAAAGCCTTATATTCTCTTATCTGGGATATTACAGTAGCCTTTTATCTGATATCTGAATATTCAGCCTCTTTCCCTTTCAGTCCATTTCTACACTGTGGGAATTTATTTACCTAGAAAATGTATCTTACTCTTGCTGGAAAATGTTGATGATCTTCATAGCTTACAGGTGATATACAAATTAATTGTCATGAATTTTCAAATCACTCATTAATATCCCAAACAGAATATATAAAATCATCTGTCCTTCAATCCTACCAGTTACTCCAACTCTAGTCAAATTAGATCATGCCGCCTGCCACCAAATCATTACACATTTTCAAGACTCTCTGCCTTTGTTCACATATTACTTTATTCTTAAATACTAGCCCTTGGTGTATTCCACTACTAGATTATGGTGATCCTCGTGTATGCCTTTACTAGGGTCATTTTGGTTCTTGCTCCTCAGCCAACTAGAGATGTGTAGGTTGTAATACTATATTATTTTATAATTCACAAATTATGTATGTTATTATTTTTCAAGTATCTGAAAGTATCAGTAAAACTCCAAGTAACCGTGATTTGAACAAGATAGAAAATTATTACACTCAGGTTAAACCTTGAAGTATCATTTCAGAAACTAACATAATGGCTCTTCCACAAAGTCTTCAGGGATTCGGGTCTCTTCCATCTTATTGCTCATTCATTATCAGTAGATGGCACATCTTATAGCACTAATGGCTACTGAAGTCCCAGCTAATTACTTCTACATTTCAGTGAATTACCTCTTTTTAAGGAAACTTCCTTAAAAAGGAATAGTTTTAGTTACCCTTTCTACTTGCATCTCATTGGAGACAACTTAATCCTATTGGTGTATCTGCAATAAAAGCTATGGGGTATAGATTTTATTCTAAGATTATATCACACTTGCTCATATATATTTTAAATTGTCTTAATTGAAAATATTGCAATGGAATTAAATGGAGATTTTCAAGGAAAATTTAGGTTTTATCTCTGGAATACTTAACACCATTACTGACAGGCAACTGTTCAGGAACCATGGCAAATGAGGTCTTAGAATAATTTGAAAAGACAAGAATATGTTTAATCAGAGACTTCATAAGATATTCTATAGAGGGGCGCCTGGGTGGCTCAGTCGTTAAGTGTCTGCCTTCGGCTCAGGTCATGATCCCAGGGTCCTGGGATCGAGCCCTGCATCGGGCTCCCCGCTCCGCCAGAAGCCTGCTTCTCCCCCTCCCATTCTCCCTGCTTGTGTTCCCTCTCTTGCTGTGTCTCTCTCTGTCAAATAAATAAAATATTTAAAAAAATAAAATAAAATAAACAAAAAAATAAACATGGCAAATAGGGTTTTACCAAGCAAAAATCTGCCTGTGATTGTTAATCTCACCTCTAGTTTGGAAATATTTGTGCTAGGATTGTGCACAGTTTTCCTTTTGGTATATTACAATATTCAGATTTACATATTAGAACTACTATTTTCTCCATGTTCAGCAACAACAGATCAGACACAGAACTAAAATTAGATTCTAGAGAACAAATAAGGCAAAGATGAGACAGTTTTATGAAAGGGAGTACATGTTATCACTCAGTGAATACAAAGAAATTCAGATTGGCTGGGAGCTACAATATTG